CTTCTATAATTTTGTACTATCCTTCTATTTATGTATCCCAATTCCAAATGTTAATGAAAAAAGAATTATGTATTAAATTATGAGATGAATAAAATAATTCCATTGTCTATACAAGTGAATTGTCCATATAACCCTATTCTTCATAGATTATAATGGCGAACCAATTGGAGGCTTTGCGCGAGTGGCGTGAGGCTACCCCTGAAGACGATAGTGACAAAGGGTCATCGTCTGGCTCAAACGGCGGGAGCACCAAGTATGAGAGTGAAGAGCTGACAGCAAGGCCACAAAAGAAAGCTCGTGGAGAGGAAGCAAACGATCCGGACTTCGACCCGTCGGTTAAAACACAACGTTCCCTCAAGCAGCCACTGCAGATTCCTCCGGATGAGGATACCGAAACACCAAGGCTCGAGGTACTTGCATCAATGCACGTGTTAATTAACATAGCGTTTGATGTGCTCCTGCAATTATATAGCTAATGCGAGTTTTTGCCCTCAATAGCTACCGCTGGTGCCTCAGAATTTGCAGTTCGCACTAGAGGAGGAAGAAGAAAGCCCCCCCCAGAAGCACCCGCTCCCTCCACGGTGACCTCTTCAACCACAACGGCCGATGACAAGCCAAAGCGGAGAAGGGGCCAACATGGAAGGCACAAGAAGCACGATGATGTGCACGTGATAGCCTAGGTGGGCCCGTAGGGAGAGCCTTTGCAGCCAACAGGGATCCTTGGCAAATTCAGCAACCAGTGCTCCATTTTAGTCAGGGAGAAGGTGCCTATCATGTATGGAAATTGGAAGGATGTCCCGGAAGACCTCAAGGAACACGTGTGGAAAGAGATGCTGAGGCAGTTCATGCATCCCGAGGGCTATGATAAAGTGAAGTGCAGGGGCATGTCATGGTCTTGGCAGTAACTTTAGGTACAAGCTCAACAAGGAGTATGTGCAGAAAGGGGAGACACCCTTCACCCGTTACAATTACGTCTTGCCTGAAGTTTGGGAACAGTTCGTCAGACAAAAACAAACCCTAGAAGCAAAGCTCAAGAGCGAGTAGTTCTCCGAGCTTGCTAAGAGGAACCAGCACCACCACCACCTGGGCATGACAGGGTATGCCGCTAAGAGGCCGCAGTGGCGGGTAGAAGAAAGGCCTTTAGCTGAGGCCGAGCTGCCAGATCTGTACGCAGACTGTGATGTGAGGGCAGGGGACTTCCTGAAAGGCCACAAACCGAAAAAGCTAAAAAAGGGCAAGTCCAAGTTCAACGAGCCGCAGACCGAGGTGGCGAAGAAGAGGATCTTGGAGGTCGCTGCGGCTGAGAAGGGCGGGTCGTTCGAACCTCGCCGAGAGAGGGACATACTAACCGAGGCGCTGGGAAACCCCGAGCACCGCGGCCGCGTCCGTGGCGTATCCTCAAGGAAGAGCTGAAAGACTATGGATTCCTGGCAATCCGACGCAAGCACATACCACACGAGGCAAAGATACAAGGAATGGCTCATCCAGAAAGGCAAAGATGAGGCAATGAAGGACATGATCATGGGGTTGATACAAGATGCTTTCACGAGCACCGACCCCAAGATGGTGGAGCTGAGGTCGTAGCTATTTTGCTAGGCTGGTGTGGTGTTGCCACAGGTTCAAGACGCCGTACAAGGGCAGATGGTGCCATGGACCGGAGGACTCCCCAGGTACCCGGTCGACGACATTCTGGAAACTACGAGCTGCACGCTTCAGGTGCCCTTCAACAGGGCGCAGAGGAAGAAGGATGTGGCCACGGGAGTGGCACTACCGCCCGAAAGCGGCGCCTTGTATGGTGGCAAGCCAATCCCGCCCGACTACGCCAGGGTGGACGTGACGTGGACCAACACAGAATTTGATGAGGATCAAATCGACATTCCCACTGAAGAGGGGAGCAGATTCATCGGCGCTACTCTCGGCATGCGTGTGCTATGGAATAAGGGCGACATTGTTTGGAAGTGCCGACGCCGGCGTCAGCTCGCTCACAGCTGTCTCCCCCTGGTGACACGGGTGACAACGACGACGACAACACCGACGATGACAACGGCGGCGACAACGACAATGCTGGCGGCCCAGGCAGCAGTCCTCCGGGCAGTCCGGCTCCTGGCAACAGCAGTCCACAGGAGGTGCAGGGCCAGCACTACTACTACTGCTCTCTATATATGCTCTAATGATTGTGTATTATATATCGTGCAGTGCGCCAAATAACCCTATGGCTCAGCTCTATGTGGATTCTACGTTTGTGAGTACCTGAGGACGTGCACCAGATTCAGCAGCAGCTGGCGGCAGCTGAAGAAAGCACAAGGATGGTGGCGAAGGGAGAAGGTCAACCAAAACTTCAGACAAACAGTAGCAGACATATGTAAGTTTGTCACAGAGTGCGCGCATGAAGGGCGATCGTTCTTCAACAAGGAAAGCGAGTTGGCACTTGATCCGAAGTTCGAGAAGATCATAAACTGGAGCACCAAGTTAGAAATCAAGGATTAGTTGTTGCCAGACCTCTTTTCCGACAAAAGTTGATAGCGGGGTGATCTCAGTTTCACATGTAAACATTTGACATCATGCATGTGTAATAACTTTGAATGATGTTGGTTGACGATGGAGGACACCAATGAATGTGTTATATATTAGTGCTCGATATGCGTAATATGTGTTTATATGTCTTGATTCTGCTTTTATATGTGTTTGATTTGTGAAAATAGAATTCAAATCAAATTGCTGAGGCTATTTTTTTTAAATGGGAAAATATTAACGGAGGCGGACAAATAACAATAGACCGCCACCATTAAATCTTTATCTATGGCGGTCGCATTATGGAGACCGCCTCGGTTAATTGTTTAATGGAGGCGTGCATTGCAACCGCCTCACCTTTGATTGGAGATGGTTGCAATGCCTGCCTCCATTAAGCATTTTCGCCCGCCTCCATTAAGATTTGTGTACTAGTGTTTTATTCGAGTTTAATTTGCATTTAATAGGCTACAGCATAAACATTTTTTATGATGTTGCAATGTTTTTAAGAAGATGATAGAGAAGAATTGAGTTTTATTTGGATGAACTCTGTTGTCTCGGCTTTTTACTCTAGATGGTCATGGAATTAAATGTCTATAAAATATTAGAACGAAACCATGTATGGATGATAGTTGTTTGAACCATGTTTCATTTTATTATTTTATATAACATGGTATTTGTGGAAACAATGCTATAAAACTTTTCACCGAGAATGACCTATTTCCTTTTACCCCTTAATATCTACGTCAGTTCGTAATATGGGCCAACACATATATATTCGATGACGTATCTGAACCAATTAGTATTATAAGCCAGCATGAATACTTAGCATACTCCCTCCATTCCTACAGTATAATATATATAGCCGGCGTGCACAGCCTCATTCCAGATACCAAGAAACTCACGAAAGTACGTGTTTCGCATTAACTGCGTCGTGATTAGCACCCGCGCTGCCGGCCGCAAAGGTCATCCGTCCTCACGCTCACGGAGATGAGATCAGTACTAGTGCATGCTGGTGACGCCTGAGGCATTCATCCATGCAGCATGAGGTACTAATGAGCAAGACCCTTGATCCTCCCGTCCGTCTCCTATTACGGTCAAATAGAAAAACGCCTGCACGCCGGGTATACCGGAACGGAGGGATTACTTAGTAACACGATCTGGTATGTACTGTATAGTCATCAAGGTACCATGTAGATACACTTCAGACTTAGTATTATTGCTAGCTGCCGGTTAGGAATGCCCCATCACTGACGGGTTTCACTTCACCCTCGTTGGTGATAACCGAGCTAATGACTGCCGGTTTGCATCCGACGATGATAAACTAATGTCACCGCCTGCTTGCATGATTAACGACATGGTGGTGATAAGTTTCAATTCTAAAAACAAAAAAAGGTCATTGACGATGGGGAGGGTGTGCTAGCGCCAACAAACACCTACGCCAGGCCTCCAAGCCACCTCCGCATGCACTCAAGAGCGAAGGGAGAGGAGAGAGGCCGGTGCTCTTGTGGGTGTGGAGAGAGGGAAAGGAATGGGAGGGACTGAGCGGGCATGAGAAAGGAATGTAGAAAGACTGAGTAGGTGAGACACATGGTTATAGTCCAACAGATTTCAGCAATAAAATTTTAGGTGTGGTGGTGTTATATTATCAATTTATAATAAACACCAAATAATATTATTACTATCGGTTGTACTACCACTAGCGATCGTAGACATGAACCAGTACTCCAGCAGTGATTCTATATCTATGGTAGCGCGTGCTATTCGAGGTTTTGGGCTCCAAGGACAAGACAAGGTCAGGATGTGCTACCAGCCAAACAGGGGTGTATGACACTGACACCCCGTCAAGCAGAGTATTTCTTCTGGGCTTCCTCGATCGAGCTCCGGTCTCCCGCAAGCGTGAATTCTTGGTTATTTGGACTCATATACGGGCGGGCTTGAACAAGCGTGAATTCTTGGCTATTTGGACTCCTTGCGGAACGGTGAGTGTGGGCCACCTGGGCAACTTTTTTGCGTTGGCCCAAGTGTTTCTTGTTTTTTTTTTTTTTTGAGTGTTTCTTGTTGATGAACGTCAATTACTCAATAAAGCAACAATTCCAAATAGTCCGTACCGTAGCTCCTTTTGACTTTGTGCTCAAAATTCAGTTTCTACACTTTGCATTTGCTAATATAAATATCTCACGCATTTGTGTGTGTGTGTGTGTGTGTGTGTGTGTGTGTGTGTATAATAAATCTATATTACAATACACGCGTACATGCAACTCCGTATTACAGTAGTATACATAACAATAAATTTAGAAATGCAGTAGTCAAGTCATGACCCCATACACAGAATTTAGCTCATACCTGAGAATGTCCTCAACGTACAGACATGTCCTTAGCAGTGAGGAATTCCCAACATTTATGTTTAATCTGTTCCCAAGAAAATTTCATTTCCATGAATCCTTTTCTGCTAGTTTCTATTATCGATCCATGCTAAATGATCTAGAACTTCAGGCGCATTTGTGAAGGTGCTGACCGATTTTCTTTTTCTTTCTGCATCCAGCTTGCGAGAGAGCCTTGCAGCCGGCTAGGCGCGTGCCCAGCCCATAAGTTGATGAAGTGAGGAACCACATACGGTTGCTCCACCAGCTCCTGATCCTGTCGTTGCACTGCTTTTCTTGCGCTGTGTGCTTTGCATCTTCGTGCTTGCCTTCGCAACTTGAATATATGCAGCACCATGTTGAGACTTCCAAAGCATCTGGTACATCTGTGTTTTGGCAGAAGTAATCTACAGCCTTTGGTAGTGTGATCTCTTCCAGCTGTGCCAAGGTAATGTCTGTATGAGCGCAATGTTGCTCCTCACTGTGATTCACCACTATAGCTGAGCTTTTATCCGCAGCCAGCGGGTCCTCTGAAGAGCCATGGGGCATAAACAGTAGTCCAGCTATCAGATATTGAGGATCTTGCAGACAAAAATCGCCTCCATGCAGTGAGACTTGGCACTGCAAGTGCACTCCAATAACTGATTCTAGAGAAATATCTGGCGTGCCTGTGTTGCTACTACAGTGAAGTTCATGCTGGTCAAGCTCCTTGCAACATAATGGGTTTGGGCGATTCCATTGAGAAAAACAATTATGAAGATTCTCCCAATGTTTTTTTCTGGCGTGAATCAAGAAATGGCACCCATGAGAAGTCGTGTGTAGGTAGTTGCATAAGTTTATTCCTAATAATTTCAACTTTAGACTTAAAAAGGGGTGTGTACAACCTCAAGCAATCAATGACAGTTCCAACTATGTCCGTACTCTCTAAAAGTTGTCGAGTGACACTAAAGAAAAAACTATTCTCGGGTGCCAGACCATCTTTCTGGATGAAGAACAGGACAACCTCTATTCCATGCTCTGGAGTACTGAAGGGCAACCATAGCAAAAAAAATGTGCTCTGACTTCCCAGATCGATATTGTGTTGTAGCTTCTTGCCTGTAAAAAGGTTTTTGACAAAAGGGTTGAAGGGCATGTGACAATGCGGTGTGCAACCAAGCTCTATGAATCTCAAGAAGTCGCTAGCACTGTCTGCATACTGTTAGTTGATCTCCACCAGCCTACTGGACCCTTATCTCTGCTCCCTGATCGGGGGAGCCCAACTCTAATCCGGTTGGAGAGCCCCTGTCGCACAGCACACATAAAAGGAAGGTGGGGGTGAGGGCTCGGACTACGAGGTTCGCCGTGAGCTGCCACTCCCACCTACAGTAACCCTAAACCGATCTAAAGACCGTGCTGCCAGCGACGGGATATGCTCCACCACCACCGTCACCTCTGCAGGGTCTCCACAGCGTTACTGGTGATCGTCTCCACCGCGTTGGACGGCTGCTACGCCGACGGCACCGGCGTCTCCCCGCTGCGGTGCAACTACTGAGAAGGCGAGGAGCCTTCACCGGATCTACGGGTTACGGTTACACAGAGAGGTACCAATCCTATGATCTTAATAATGGTATCAAAGCCAGGTTACAAGTGTGTAACCCTAACCCTAACCGGGTAAAAGCAAAGAAAAGAGTGACCGGGGTGGCGGACATCACGGTCTACCGGTCATCACCGCCACCGCGCGTGGGGGAAAGATGCCGCACCGTTCGACGGCGCATGGCAAGAGAATAGAACCGAAGACTTCCTTTCGGATCTGAAAAGAGAAGAAATCTCAAGAACTCTAACCCTAACCCTAAAAGGGGAAGGGGATAATCTGTTCTCTGAGCCCAGTTCTTGAATCGGGTTCAACCAAACCCTAACCCTAGATCCCCTTTTCGGGTAAACGAGGGAAAAGAAAAGAAAGGAAATTCAAGCGAAAAGAAAAAGAACAAAGAATAGGGGTCGGCACACGAACCCTAACCCCAATCGGTCAAACGAAGAAAAGCAAACAAGATCTAGATCCGATTGGGAAAGAAGAGAAAAAGAAGGGTCGGAACCCTAACCCTAATCCTAGTTTCCCATTCGGATGAACTCGAAAAGAAAAGGAAGAAGAACAATACAAATCCGAAAAAGGGAAGGGGTGGATCTACCTCGCCGGGCGTCGGGATGTCCCTTCGCCGGCGCGGGAAAAGAAGCCGAGCTGGGGGAGCTGGCTCGCCGGGCTCGGCCAAGGGGGCGCTGCGGCCAGGCCGCTCGACGGCGGCGTGCTCACCCGTTGGGGAGCACGCGCGCTGGCGAGGGGGCCGGCGACGGCGCCATGGTCGCTCCTCCATCGTCCCTCGCTCTCGGTGTCTCGCTGTGGCTGCGTTGAGGTAGAGAGAGGAGGGAGCGGCGAAGAAGAGAGAGAATTAGAAAGGAGCAAATGAAACTAGGGTTCGGGACCGTGGCCAGTGAAGACTTTTTGTTCGACCGAAACGATCGGACGGCCGTCGGATGAGATCCAACGGCGCCGGATGCACGGGCCAGCGAGCGGCCCAGGCGGGCGAACGCACCGCGCGGCAATTTGCCGGCCCAGGCTCAGGTTGCAGCCTGGGTGCGGCCGGGCATCGCGCACAGAGCTGGGCCAGGTTGTTTAGCAGGCCGGGGCCATGTACTGTAGCTGATAGGTTGTGCACTGTTGCTACAGGCCGGGCCAAAAATGAATAGAAGAATATAGAAAGGTTTTATTTAATTTCAGAAGCTGACTTGAATGAATTCCAATGGTTTAAAATTTCTGGTAAAATTACACCAACGTGTTATTTTTCCAAAAAATAGATACGAACAAGAAAAGCTTCTGAAAAATAGATAATAAATTTTTCATGCTTTTCCTTTTTCAGTAAATGTTTATTTCCTGGAAAATTGAAAGTGCAAATTGGCTCAAAAGAAAAATAGAAAAGTAATTTTTCCCTGTGGGTAAAATTCAAGAAATTGAGTGAAAGTTTTTCCGCTGCTAAAGAAATTGTTTATTCTCCAGTTAATTTAAACCAATGTGGTATTTAATTGGAGAAAAAGAGATTTTTTCCGCTGCCAAAGAAAAGTTGTTGATTCTTCAGTTATTTTTGAACCAATATGGTATTTAATTGGAGAAAACGAGATTTGACATGATTATGATGTTGTTATTTTCTGACCAACGTTGTTAATAACAATATCATAATTTTAATGATTTATGCATTAATTCTACTTCCGCCCAACGGTGATGTAGAATTAGTGTATAAGAAAAGTTGATAATTTTAATGATTTATGCATTAATTCTACTTCTGCCCAACGGTGATGTAGAATTCGTGTATAAGAAGAGTTGTAAATTTTAAATGATTTATGCATTAATTCTACTTCTGCCCAACGGTGATGTAGAATCAGTGTGTAAGAACAGTTGTGAAAGTTAAAGATTTATGCATTAATTCTATTTCTGCCCAACGATGATGTAGAATTAGTGTATAAGAATAATTGTATGTTTTGATTTTAACCAACGTTGGAATCAAGGCATGCAAATGGTGTTATTTTTATGTTAAGAAAAGTTTTGACCTGGTTTTCATCTTGTCTAAGGTGGACTGGGTAGTCACCTCATCGTATTCCACTGAGATTGTGGCACCGGTGAGGGAGACAAAAGAGAATGATGCCACTTGGGCAAGTAAAGAGAGGGATTTTGAATCTCAAAAGATATCCTATGACTCCTTGGGCATAGGAAATGAATCACTACCAACACGAAAAAGTTTGGCTATGATAAAGAATATGATTGAACTTGTAATTGTGGGCTCAATCCCAGAATGTGACACGGTCACCAAGTACCTCGATAGAATAAAGAGTCAGTTCACTGGCTCTTCAAAGACATATGCCACTTAGCTGATAAAGCAGCTGGTCACAGAGTGTTAATCTGAAAAAGGTGGCATAAGAGAGCTCACGATGCGTTGTCGAAATTATGGCACTGTCGTTTAGGCCATATTTCGAGGGGGAGAATAGAAAGACAAGTTAAGAATAATATTCTTCCTCCATTAGAGCTCTCAGATTAAGTTCAATGCTGAGAATGCATAAAAGAAAAGTATATAAAGAAGATTAAGAAAGATGACAAATGAAGCGCAGGAATCTTATAGATTATTCACATAGACATCTGTGGTCAGTTTCCTGTAAAGAGTGTAGATGGTAATGATTCGTTCATAACATTCACATATGAGTACTCCCATTATGGCTATATTTATCCAATCAGAGAAAGAAAAGATGTACTGGATAAATTCAAGATATTAAAGATTAAGATAGTCAGGTCTGACCGTAGGGGAGTAATGCGGTCGGTATACCCTAAAAGAATGGCATAGTAGCCCAGTATTCTATACCGGGTGAACCTCAGCAGAATAGAGTAGCTAAAAGAATCAATCGCACCCTGATGGATATGGTGGACAGTATGATAAGTTACTCCACCTTATAGTTGAGCCTGTGGATGGAGAAGTTGAAAACGGCCATTCATATTCTCAATGAAGTATCAAGAAAGTCGGTGCCCAAAACACCGTATGAGTTGTGGACAGAAAGAGTACCCTCAATAAATCACTTGCGTGTGTGTGGGGGAGCCCTGCTGAGGCTAAAGTATTTAACCCAAACATTGGGAAGTTAGATTCCAAAAATAGTAAGTTGCCATTTCATTGGCTACATAGAAAAGTCAAAAGGTTTTCGTTTCTACTATCCAGAGAGACATACAAAGTTTGTGGAAATGGGACACGCTGTCTTTCTAGAGGATGAATTGATAAGGGGGAGCATGGTAGCTCGAGAAATTGACCTTGAAGTGAAGCGGGTGTATACGCCCACTCCAATGATTCATAAGCTATTTTTCTCACTACCTGCTGTGCTGCACCGGTAGTGCTAGATACTGTGGTGCCAGCACCTGTTGTTATCCCACATGTGGCAACAATGAATGATGAGAAACCTGTTTTTCAGGATCCTATAGAACCTATTGCCACACATGAGGGGGAGCAACAACAGCCTCAAACAAAAGATGTGCCAAATGTGAAGGCCCCTAGTAGGTCTCAAAGAGTTAGAAAATCAGCTATTTCTGCTGATTATGAAGTGTATAACACTAAGGAATTTTAAATGGAGGATGATCCCACCTCATTTGAAGAAGCCATGAGAAGTGATCATTCATCAAAGTGGCTTGAGACCATGGAAGATGAAATGAAATCAATGAATGTAAATAAAGTTTGAGATTTGGAAATAATTCCTAAATGAGTCAAAACAGTAGGCTGTAAATGGGTCTATAAGACTAAACATGACTCTCAAGGGAATATAGAGACATATAAAGTGTGACTTTGTGGCAAAAGGCTTTATGCAAAGAGAAGGGATTGATTACAATGAGACCTTTTTTTTCTCCAGTCTTATGTAAAGTTTCCTTCAGAATCATAATGGCATTAGTGGCACATTACGATTAAGAATTACATCATATGGATGTAAAGACGACATTTCTCAACAGAGACTTGGAGGAAAATGTTTACATGGCACAACCGAAAGTTTTGTCATGGAAGGAAAAGAACGAATGAGATGCCGCCTAAAGAAATCCATTTATGGATTAAAGCAAGCTTCAAGACAGTGGGACTTGAAGTTTGATCAGTCAATAAAGAATTTTAGGTTTTAAAAGAGAATATAGAGGACAATTGTGTCTATGCAAAGTTTAAGAATAGAAAGTTTATCTTCCTTGTCCTGTATGTAGATGATATCTTACTTGCTAGTAGTGATGTCAGTCTACTATAGGAGACAAAGAAGTTTTGTCCTCAAAACTTGATATGAAAGATCTTGACGAAGCCTCATTCGTTCTAGGGATCGAGATTCACCGAGATAGAAGAAAAGGGTATAATGACTGTCACAAAAGGCATACATGGAAAAGATCTTAAAGGAATTCAATATGCACAAATATAGTCCCTCACCTGCTCCTATAGTCAAGGGCGATAGATATGGGGATTTTAAATGCCCTAGGAACCAATATGAGCTCAATCGATAAAGTAAAAGTGGTTCCATATGCTTCAGCTGTCGGAAGCTTGCAACATGCTCAAGTATGTACGCGCCCTGACTTGGCATTTGTTACCAGGTTTTACTTGGCAGATTCCAGAGCAATTCTGGAATAGAATACTGAAATAAGTAAAGAAAGTCTTGCATTATTTGCAAGGAACGAAAGGCCTCATGATGACATATAGAAGATTTGATTCACTCTACATGGTGGGATATTCAGATTCTGATTATGCGAGAGTGAATGCATATCCAGACGTGGATTTTCTATCATCTCGCAAAGGGGAGCTATTTCATGGAAAAGCTCAAAGCAAACTATCACTATATCGTCCATAATGTATGATAGTTTGTATCGTGTTATGAGGCAACGGGCAGGTGAACTAACTAACGAAGTTCATACCCGGTTTGAAGGTGGTTGACGATATCTATAGACCACTAAAGTTATACTGTAATTATAATCTGGCAGTAAAGGATGCTCACAACATAAGTCAAGTGGTGCTGCCAAACACATTGACATAGAGTATTATGTTGTGAAAGATAAAGTCCGGGATCAAGTCATAAGTCTTGAGCATATAAGAACAGAAAGGATGCTCGCGGATCTGTTTACAAAAGGCTTACCACCCAACATGTTCAGAGGACATGGTGTTCAGAGAACATGTAGCTAGCTTGGGTTTAAGGGAAAGCCTAAAATATTCCTGGACAAAAGAAGGCCCAAAGATAAGTATCTATTTCAGAACAGAGTAGTGAGTTGTAGCTGTTAAGTCTATCGGCAATGGAACGTGACAATGAGACATGCTCTATGAGCTAATCTGTAATGGAATGAACAAAAGTAAATGATATGAAAGTGAAAGATGAAATGAGATCAAGGGGGAGAATGTTAGTTGATCTCCACCAATAGGCCCAACGGCCTATTGGGCCTTTATCTCTGCTCTCTGATCGGGGGAACCCAACCCTAATCCGGTTGGAGGGCCCCTGTCGCACAGCATACATAAAAGGAAGGTGGGGGTGAGGGCTCGGACTACGAGGTTCGCCTTGAGCCGCCACTCCCACCTACAGTAACCCTAAACCGATCTAAAGACCGTGCTGCCAGCGACGGGATGTGCCCCACCACCACCGTCACCTCTGCAGGGTCTCCACAGCGCTACTGGTGATCGTCTCCACCGCGCTGGACGGCTGCTACGCCGACGGCACCGGCGTCTCCCCGCTGCGGTGCATCTACTGAGAAGGCGAGGAGCCTTCACCGGATCTACGGGTTACGGTTACACAGAGAGGTACCAATCCTACGATCTTAACACATACCACTCAAATCTTCGAACAATGGATCTGCTTAGCTGGTTGTTGAGACCAAAGGTAGAAGAGATAAATGACTTGGTAGCATGTGCTATCCGTTTAGGAAAGGCTGAACTACTGACCTCCTGTTCCATCTTTTCTTCTTCCAGGATTCTATTCTTGCACTTGTGGAGCATGTCGTCGCACTCTTGAGCAGCACGCTTCAGATTTTTCCGCCAACGCAACAACGATGCATCAGTGATCTGCCACTTTTCAGATGTCTCGAGAGCAGCCTCCAACTTGATGTGCGCCATCTCTAGCCTCTCCAAGTTTTCGTTGTCCTTCGATTTCTCTTTCCCCTCATGCCTGTCAATCAGATCAAATAGGATTTGGCTAACTGCCCCTTGGACAACCGCAGAACCGACCATCTCTGCCATTAGGAGTCAAGCATCTATAGCATCCCTTCCCAGCTCATGAAAAGTATCATATACCATTAGTCAGCACACATCAGAGAGTAAAAATATGGAATTTTGATCACAAGCAAGGATTTAGCTGAGTGGCTGTAAGAATCTACCTTTGATAGAATTGCGTGGGAGTAGTGATCAGCTTAGATGTCCTGTGTATGAAGGTATCTCTATAAGGAGGTGTTGGTCTCCATAAGCCAGGGAAATGTTGGCTCGAGAAGGGATATGTGACTTCAATCAATGATGAGAGTCTCTGCTTCTAGATATGCATATAATTGACTAACATTCATTAAGTGGTGGCAAGTTGACGAAGCACATGCTGTGTGAATAATCAAATGGAGGCTGCTATGCTTCTCTTTACGCGTTTGAATATAATTGGCTAACATAGTATTGAACATGCATTAAATAGTGACAAGTTGAACCATACGGAGGCTGCTATGCTAATAAACTCAAAGAGAACAAGGGGAATTATAATACGTCAGCTTCAACATCTTTCATCCATTATATTAATTCAGCAGTATAGGGAACTCAGAAGTCTTGGTCCTTTGCAGGTGAACATGGAAAGGTTGAATCCTCCCCTTGCTCCATGGCATTCTAGTCAACCGCGTGGGGCCTAGAAGCCAGAACCTGCAGCCACTACTGGATTCAGGTTCTTTGCCGAGTGCCTGAGGCACTCGGCAAAGGTCAAATTGCACTCGGCAAAGCCTTTGCCGAGTGTGACACTCGGCAAAGAACACACGGCAAAAAATTGATCGGCAAAGCCCTCTTTGCCGAGTGTCTTTTATCGGGCACTCGGCAAAGGCTTTGCCGAGTGCCCCGGTGACACTCGGCAAAGAAAAGCGACCGTCACGACGCCGGTTCCGTTGGCGGTCACTTTGCCGAGTGCCAACCCTGCAGGCACTCGGCAAAGATTTTTTATTTTTTTTAATTTTTTTTTTCTTTGCCGAGTGCCAACCCTACAGGCACTCGGCAAAGATTTTTTATTTTTTTATTTTTTTTTTAAATTTCTTTGCCGAGTGCCAAGCCTTGAGGCACTCGGCAAAGATTTTTTTATTTTTTTTTATAAAATTTCTTTGCCGAGTGCCCTCTGTCGGGCACTCAGCAAATATTTTTTTTAATTTTTTTTAAAATTTCTTTGCCGAGTGCCCTCTGGCTGGCACTCGGCAAAGTTTGAATTTTTTTTAAAAGTTTAATTTTTTTTAAAGAAAATTCTTTATCGAGTGTCATGATTCACTTTGCCGAGTGCTCTCTTCCCTACACTCGCAAAGTTTAATTTTTTTTTGTGGGATTCTTTCTTTGCCGAGTGCCATGGTCGAGCACTTTCGGCAAAGATTTTTTTTTTTTTTTTATTTCTTTGCCGAGTGCCCTCTGTCCGGCACTCGGCAAAGTTGGAATTTTTTAAAAAATTTCTTTGCCGAGTGCCATGGTCACAGCACTCGGCAAAGCTGGAAAACTGGTTTTCTGGACGCCCATTTTCCAGCTTTGCCGAGTGCTGTGACCATGGCACTCGGCAAAGTGACCCAAAATGGCAATTTTAAATTTTTTTTACATTCCATCATGCCAAATAAATTCATACAAACATACATCACATATATATATCTCATCCATCTACACATCCATCCGCACATATCACATCCATCACAATATATATCACATATATAATAATAAGTGCTCAAGTCCATCCAAATAAATCCGCAACTCCATCAAAGTCCACAAGTGCATCACAAGTCCATCACCAAGTGAACAATAAATGAAAAAAATACAACGTGCACTCATTATGATTAGCAATACAGTAGAAAAACCTATATTTTTCACATAAATATGGCTGGTATGACTAATATGAAGGAAGCAACTGGGATCTGTGAGGTACATCAAAAGCCTGAATCATACTTATTAAAGTTCTTGAAAGCAGCTGTGTCATCTAGTTCTCCTCTCATATCCAGAGGATACGGTTCACCATTTACCAAGGTAAATGGGTTCATCTCAAGAAATGAGAAATCCAAGTCTGCAAAAGAACCAAAGAGCATCACACGTTGAGTGTTGAAACCGGAAAAGCAACAACTACAAACTGTCTGCCTTTGAAAAGCAAGGGTGAGGTACCTTGGAAAACAGAAAATACACCTCTAATGAAATCACCTATTTTTGTGCGGACCTGAAATTCAAGCACGGATCATCAATGAGAATCAACTGAGAATTGATGGTTAATCAAGAATCTGAGAATGACCAGCAGCAACGAGTTCCAAGCCTTACTGGGAACAAAACAAATGGTATAATAAATAAACAAGTAACAGTGCAATAGCTGACCTCCAATGGCAGGGTGGCGATCAATGGAGCACATGCGTCAGGTGTCATTTGATTCTCTGTGGGAAGAAAGATAGTCTTAACCTTGTCCCAGTTCTCCTCGATCTCAATACCTCCACACTCTGAGAAACTAATGGTGCTGCCAAGCCTTTCTGATACAATCGAAAGGTAATACTCTTGGTCATGCGGCACAAATGGCTCAACTATGAAGGTTGTAATTGGAGCTTTGCAGCCACCCATCTCGACCTAGATACATGAGCAAATTCAGTCATATAGATTATAAATAGCTTTAACGATCAGGTTTGTGCTGGTAAAAGCATATGGCAAGATGACCTTCAAAAAAAAAGCATGGCAAGATGCTAGTCATGACAGTACCTCAACTCCCAACCGCTCCTTAACAAATTGGCGAACTTGGGCAAGATCTAGGTTGAGGGCCACAAGTCCACTCTTCCCACGTTTCCCAAAGAGCATGTCAGGTTTCACAACCAACTTCATAGATGAGAGCCATGGCTCCTGGTTTGCAAGCTCAGTGAAATCCGTTGACTGTGTGACCTGTGATTAAGCATTCTGAAAATTCAATCAACTGGTCTTGAGGAATATGTAAAAAACAGGGATGCTATAGTGAATGAAAGAAGATAACTAATATAGAACATCAGAACCTGAAGAACCTCCCTTGAGAGTAATCAAACTCGATCTGTGTAACTGTATTTCTACAACCAATAAACCCAGCTAATGCAAAACACTAAGCAAGTGCACCTTCAAAGAGAACCCAAGTAAAATGAACCGGTTGTTTCCTATCTGGTGAATGGCAACTAAAAACGAAGACAATCTGTTGGTGTTACCTAGATGATCTACTGGTTTTTGACACAGACCCAGTTTATCAGAGTAAAATTCCCCTAAACCAAACTATATAACTGCTACTTGAAAATTCTGGTTTCTATGGGGGTTGAGATTTCAATGACCACAGCCATAGACCTTGCAAATCCATTCTATGGAGCGAGCTAACTCCGGCAGACCGGCACCCGATCCTGTTCCTACGGTGACCGCGGCAAGAAGATGGTGGGTGCTGATTATGATTATCCAAGACATGGAGATTCATTTGGATAGAACAGGAAAAGCAGGAGCCGTCACTGCCAACCTAATAAAATCAGGACTCGTCACTCTGATCCAGCATTTCAATTTGAGCAGCTTGTGCTTTTGAAAAAGCTTACCCCAAATAACACTAAATAAATCCACATGATGCTCATTTCACAAAGTCACAGCCAGCCAGCCGACAAACAACTATAAAGGTCAATACGAAACTAGCTTAGCTCTGTCCTAGCTTGCACCATTTGAGCTTCAAGTACTCTACATGTATCAGGTATACCAATAAATCATACTGCAAGAGCAAGCAAAGCGACAAGGTACAAGCATACTAAATTCCCCTCCAACATTGCATCTCGACTCAACACACAAGGTAGAACTAATCAATCTGAACTATCTTAGAAAACTAAGTACAGTCAGTTCAATTCCCCCTTTTCATCATCCATGTTTCTGATCTAAAAATACAATAAAATCATTTCATGTATTTTATGATTTTATCATGGCTGATAGGAACTGAAAAACAAAAATAAGAATTTGGTACTGCACGAGGTAGGAGAACTAAGGCTCCTTGTTCAGCACAAACAGATATGCTGCTGGATGGTAAAGCTAGCCCTGACCTGACGACGCTATGCAGTAATGAACTTTTGATTTGACAGTCAAAATTAGCAGGGCCATATGCATCAGCAATTCAACATGCTATTTTAATTCGTTTCGATCCAATCAGCTGATATATGCATCAAACTAACTACATTTTATGCTATCAAAGAACCGCATTAATAAGCAATGCCCTGGTGTTGATATTTATGGTACTAGCTAGCAATCCAACAGGCATTGGAACTCTATAGGGTCCGAGTCCTCAAGCAGAAGGCCACTCACCTTGATGGAGGCAGATGATCCGAAGCTGAAGGCGCTCGCTGCCGTCTTGTAGCCCAGCTCCACGGTCTTGCGTGCTCGCGGTGGAGTCTCGCCGAGTGCTCGAGTCGCCGTCTGCCCGTCTCAGTGGCTTGGCCTCTCTGCTCCGTCCTGCTGGCTGCTGCTTGCTGCGTTGCGGTGAATGAACTGGCCGCTGGCACGGGCGCGCGGGCGGCGCGGGCGCGCGGGCGGCCGGGCGGCGTGGGCGCGGCGCGGGGGCGGGGGCGGGGCGGCGTGGGCGCGGTGGCTGGCTGCGGCTGTCTGCTTGACTGCCCGGACGGCCGAAAGCGTTTAATAAGTCCCAACCGCTCCTTCGCCGAGTGCCAGATGAGGCAGGCACTCGGCAAAGATTTAATTCTTTTTTTTAAAAAAATTCTTTGTCGAGTGTCCTAGATCTGGCACTCGGCAAAGATTTAATTTTTTTTTAGAATTTTTTGTCGAGTGTCCTGATCCAAGACTCGAGCAAAGTTGTTTTTTAAAATCTTTGCCGAAAGTGCCGGATCTGGGACACTCGCAAAAAATTCCAAAAAAATAAATCTTTGCCGAAAGTGCTAGATCCGAGACACTTTCGATAAAAGAATTTTTAAAAAAATTAAATCTTTGCCGAGTGCCTAACAAAGCAGCACTCGGCAAAGAAGGCCGTGGGTCGAACACCGTTCTGTGGCAGACCTATGTCGAGTGCCGCTCTTTTTGTTGAGTCGGCACTTTCGGCAAAAAGTCCTTTTGCCGAGTGCCCTTGTTTGCCGAGTGCCCAAACTCGGTAAAAGAACTCTTTCTTGAAGTGCAATTCTTTGCCGAGTGCGACACTCGGCAAAGAAGGTCTTTGCCGAGTGTCCGATTTTTTACACTCGGTAAAGAATTATGCACTCGGCAAAGTCTCTGTTTCCAGTAGTGAGCGGTGTTGCACCGCCACCTGGGCAGGCCAAGAGTCTGACAATATTTATCTTCGGCCTGTTCGTTTGGCTGGGCTTGTTCGCTGCTGGATAGTGAAGAAATACTACTGGCTGGTTTGGTGTGAGAGAAAAATATTGTTTCGGCTGAAAATTTACGATCGTATAATCCCAGCCGAACAGGCTGCTTGGCCATACCCCTATGTTTTTCTATTTTTCTATTTTCTTACTATATATAATCTCTAGTATGAAATGGATTTACATGAAGCTAAACACATGAACAGTGCACTGCACTGCACTTACATAAATTCTTAGAGTGGATTTCTTTAGAGTTACTACGGTAGGCGATTCTTTTTGAGGAAACAGGAGTGGTAGCACCCAAATTCAAGAAACAGAAAAGGACAAAGAATATAAAGAAGATCACGATTGGTACTATGGTAGGCGATTGCCAGCCTGAACTTTGATATATAAATGAATATGCAGGGACCAGAGGATTTGCAAAATGAGAAGAAAGAGCTCAAGTGCAGAGCTATGTCACATTGTCAAAAAAAAAAAATCAACCCAAAAGTTGAAGAGAACAATGGGCAGGCTTTCTAGCTCGGTGTGACCAGAGGTGAAGATCCAATGCAGCATTCGAAGAGTTTGGCAGCAGAGACGTCATGTTCATTAAAGGCCTGGCATTCCTACTCTTCCAGAGAACTGTTTGCATATGTAGCTCAAGTACTCAACAACCTTCTCTCAAGTCTTGACCCCAAACACAGAATTTAGCTCATATACCTGAGAATGTCCTCAACGTACAGACAGGTCCTTAGCTGTGAAGAATTCCCAACATTTATGTTTTCCAAGAAAATTCCATTTCCACGAATGTTTTCCACTCTTGAGCAGCACGCTTCAGATTTTTCCGCCAACACAACAATGATGCATCAGTGATCTGACACTTTTCAGATGTCTCGAAAGCAGCCCCCCAACTTGATGTGCGCCATCTCTAGCCTCTCCAAGTTTTCGTTGGGTTGTCCTTCGATTTCTCTTTCCCCTCATGCCTGTCAATCAGCTCAGATAGGATTTGCTAACTGCCCCTTGGACAACCACAGAACCGACCATCTCTTCCATTAGGACTCAAGCATCTATAGCGTCCCTTCCCTACTCATGAAAAGTAGCATATACCATAAGTTAGCATACATGAGAATAAAAATATGGAATTTGGATCGCAAACAAGGATTAGCTTAAGGGCTGTAAGAATTTACCTTTGATAGAATTGCATGGAAGTAGTGATCAGCTTAGCTATCCTGTGTATGAAGGTATCTTTATAAGGAGGTGTTGGTCTCCATAAGGGGAAATGTTGGCTCAAGAAGGGATATGTGACTACAATCAACAATTTGAGTCTCTGCTTTTATATATGGTTGAATATAATTGCCTAACATGCATTTAGTGGTGGCAAGTTGACGAAGCACATGCTGTGTGAATAATCAAATGGATGCTGCCATGCTAGTTGACCTGAAAGTAAAGTGAAATATGTCAATTTGAGCATCTTTCATCCACGAACTCCGCAAAGGTATATGTGACTTTAATCAACAATGACAGTCTCTGCTTCTATAAATGTCTGAATATAATTGCCTGACACGCATTAAGTGGTGGCAAGTTGACGAAGCACATGCTGTGTGAATAATCAAATGGAGGCTGCCATGCTAGTTGACCTGAAAGTAAAGTGAAATATGTGAACTTGAGCATCTTTCATCCACTAACGCCGCACAGTAGACAGCTTGAAACTGCCCTTACTGTCGGCAGTTTTCCTTGTATCTTCTTTTTTCTATCTTTCCTTCCCCTCACTGTTTCTTTATTAACTATTATTGTTAGCCAAAAGATCTGCATTTGATGCACAAAAGTAACAAAAGGACTGCTGGGATGAAAAGGGCTTCTATTCTATCAGACTGTTCAGTAGAGAAGCTACAGCTGCTGGTGCTGCAAATAAGCTGTAACTTATTTGCAGCCAAACAGTCTGATAGATCATGGCAAATATCTGCATATGCTGAAAGCTGGATGACAAATACACTGACAGATCATGATGAATTCCAACCGGTTATCCAAAAGAATCACAGCATCCATTTCCTGCTAAGGAAATGTAACATAGATCATTAGGTCAGTAACTAAGTATACGTGAGATACTAAATATGTCTTCGGATCAAAATTCAGAAGCAAAGATTTAGCTTAGCAGCTGTAAGAATATACCTTTGACAGAATAAAACAGAAGTGGTGGATAAGATAACGCAGTCCAAGACTTGGAAGAAAAAGGAGGCATTCAATTCAATAACAGGGTATGGTAGCAAAGGCCGAAGGGTGTGTGGGCTGTGGATGATTTGGTCTTTATAGGGGAGAAATGTCGAATTGAGAAGGGAAACCTATCTTCAATCATCAATGAAAGTCGCTGCTGCTGTTTACGCATTTGAATATAATTGGCTAGCATGCATTAAATGATGACTTGTTGAACCATATGGAGGCTTCTATGCTAATCAGCGCCGACAACCGGAGAAAAAAAGGGAAATATGTCAACTAGAACTTCTCTCATCCATGAATTCAGCGCCGTACATGGAACTCAGAAGACTTAGTCCTTACCAGATGAATGATGCAAAGCTTGAAACTGCCCCTTGCCACTGGCCATTTGTAGCGGGCGAAGCAGATGTTCTGATTCTTTGGCAAACTTTTTCCTATGGTGTTCTAGTATGGCATAACGTTCACTAGTCACCTACAATCTCCGTACGCCTTAGTTTTCTATACAATGCTTCCTTCATCAGTTCACCTCATTATCTAACTGATCATGGATAGTCAAAACTCAAAAGGACAACATATCTATACACCTCAGAGTACAGAGGACTCCTGTATATCCTGTAAGATGTATGACAGAGTGCAGACGTGCAGTGACATCAGAATACTGCATAGCCAAGACAATTAACCCAAAGAAGATTTGCTCCTACATGAGTACATGACCATTGACCACATCTAAAGCCCACTGTAATAGAAGAAAATCTGTGCCTTTTCTTTCTCTCCTAGGACCTAGCTAGCTAAAATCGCAGAGCAGCTTGTTATAATCTCACATCGACTGACAGGCTGCTCGACGCCCTCGACGCAGGGCAGGTTGTGGCATCTGCGGTGGGGAGTAAATCGAGCTCACCTCTAGCGCGGCCGCACGGAGTAGCGGCGGACGGCGACTCCACCGCCATCTCCGGGCATTCTTCGTCCTTCTCGAATCTCGACGGTGCCGCCGCCCCGTGCACCCTCCTCGACCGACCGACGAACCCTGCCGGCCACCTCGGCAAACCACTGCCATGTGGGGCCCAAGTTCCATAACCTACGCGGTGACGGCGGCTGCAAACCGTGCACCCTCCCTCACCTCCCTAACTGGCCGTCGCTTGCCGGATCCTCCGCGATGACGGCGTGCCTCTCCACTCTTTCCGGCAAAGCAGTGCGGTGAGGTCCCAGAATCCAGCAGCGCGCGCGAACTGGGCTAGGCCTAGGCCTAGAGGCCAGAGCGTAATAAAATGTTTGTTTTGGCCCAACAAATATTGTCTGTGGCCTTTTCTATTTTTATTTATGGGACTTTGCTTGTGGCCTTTAGCACTCTCGTTCACAAAAGAATGTCATTATCACTCTTGGCGGAGCCAATGAATTTCAAGTTTGATAAAATATATAGAGATATACTAATATTTATAATATGTAATAAATATTATTAGATAAATTCTAGAATATATTTTTATAATAAACCTATCTAGAATTACAATATTGATAATGTTTTTTATAAACTTAGAAAGATGGACAGCCTAGATTGCTGCGTGATTGGCGTTTCTTTTCTTTTTGTCGGCTGCTCTACCTGGCTGATTTCACAGCTCTTTCTATTTTCGCCGTTCAATATCATGGACTGGTTTGACTGTTTAAATTATGGCTGTAGAGCACGTGGAGTATTTCCTTCGAAAGTCCTAGGAAATCCCAAATTCCCGCGTGCTTTTTTCCTTAACAAGGTTTATGTGGAAATTGGTTTGGGTACAAGGAGAATCTGCATCAGTGTTAGCCAAGTCAATACGAAAGTCTTGCAGAAAGAGATTAAAGTTGCAGTACGTCGAGGGGTGACTTATGACAAGCAATCGTGCCAACATGCGATTTTTTTTTTTAAAAAAAACACTCATACAAGCATATATGCACTTTGAATTTTTTTTTTAAAAAAAACACTTAGGCACCTCTACCTCTAAAGTTTGTTTGATCATCTCTGTAGACCTCATCCGTATTAGTGGTGGGATCGAGAGTAGAAGAATATGAAACCTCTCGCTGGCAGAATGAAACCATTAGATTAGTGAAAAAAAGAACAAAGAATGAGAAGAAAGCAGCCATGGTCAAGCTTTAATTAATATAAATAAGTAGAAGTCATTACAACCTTTAAATTAAAGCGAGACATGGCATAACCACAATCTCAAAGTTCACAGAAGCAACAGAAGCATGCGGTTACAAATAGGTTTCACATTTTATTCTCATGTAATTCCCATTACATAATCACTTGATCAGCTGGTCATATGTGCATAACTCAAACTGAGATGAAGTGATGTGCTGTACTTCCATAAGTTCCTAATGTAGAATTATAGTAGTACTTCCTAATTTTAAGACCAACAAAACACAAACTATTGACATGTAATTTAAGACCTTCATGCTATGGGTTGCTGTTTGCTCCTCTTCACTGGAAACAGATCATTTGACCCAAATTCTATCCCCCAATATATCTGCACTTTTATTTTTCTGATTTTGCTCTGTTTTCTGAGTAGTAATCCAACCTTTGGTCTGTTACGGTTATCTCTCCAGGTTAAATGATTTAGAATTTCAGGTATGTTACTGGTGCTGCTAACTGACTTTCCTTTTCTTTCTGAATCCAGTCCAAGATCAAGCCTTGTAGCCGAACAGGCGCATGTGCACCCCATAAGTCGATAAAGTGAGGGATCATACGTGTCCGATGCTGAAGCTCCTGATCCTTTTGTTGCACCAGTTTTCTTTTCCTAGCTCCCTTAAAAGTTCTCCGTGCACCTGGAGCCTCCATGCTTGGCTTTCCTAAATGAACGTATGCAGTGCCATGTATAGCCTTCCAAAGTATTTGGTAGACTGTCGCTTCAGTGTTTTGTTGGAAGTAATCTATCGCCTTTGGCAGCATGATCTCTTTCAGTTGTTCCAAGGTAATGTCAGTATGCTCGCAATGGTGTCGCCTCCTGAAGATCGGCGCCATTGTAGAACTTCTATCCGCAGGTAGCATGTTTTCTGAAGAACCATGGGGAGTAAAGAGGAGTCCAGCTTTCAGCTTTTGATAATCGTGCAGAGAATATTTGTATTCAGACAGTGAGGTCCGTTGTTTATTGTGCTCGGATAGTGAGATCTGACACTGCAAATTTACTACAATAATTGAATCCAGAGAAGCATCTACAGTGCCTAGGTTACTAATATGGCCAACCTTATGCTGATCATGCTGCTTGCAACATAATGGGTCTGGACGAAACCATTGAGTGCTAAAACTATGAAGATTGTCCCAGTGTTTTCTGTGCCATAGATCAACATATGGCACCCATGAGAAGTCCTGTGTAGGTAGCTGAGTGAGCTCTTTCTTGATGGTTTCAACTGTAGGCTGGAAACAAGGAGGGAAGAGCTGCAGGCAGTTCACTACGGTCCCAACAATGTCTGTGCTTTCTGATATCTGCAGCATTGCACCAAAAAAGAAGTTATCTTCAAGTGTATTTCTGTCTTTCTTGATAAATACCAGGCAAACTTCTATTCCATGTTCTTTCGTAGCAAAGGGCACCAACCATAATAGAAACAAAGGGTACTCATTTCCACGGACAATTTTGTGTTGTAGTTCCCTGCCTGCAAAAAGGTGCTTGACAAAAGAGTTGAATGACATCTGACGGGATGGTGTGCCACCAAGCTCCATGAATCTCAGAAACTCACTAGCACTATTTGCAAACCACTCGAATCTTCTAACAACAGATCTGCTGGACTCATAGTTGTTGCGGCCAAAGGCAGAGAAAATAAAAGATTTGGTAGCATGTGCTATTCGTCTAGGAAAGGAAGAATTCCTCACCTCCTGTTCCATCTGTTCTTCTTCAAGGATTATCTTCTTGTATCCGTACAGTGTGTCATCGCACTCTTGAGCAGCACGCTTCAGCTTCTTGCGCCAACGCAACAACGACGAATCAGTGATCTGCCACTTACTGGATGTCTCAAGAGCTGCCTCCAGCTTGATATGCGCCATCTCCAGCCTCTCCAAGTTATCATTTGGATTTGAGTCTTCTTTGCCCTCATACCTGTGAACCAGACCGGATAGAATTTGGCCAACTGTCTCCTGGATAACCACAGAACTGACCATCTCGGTCATTAGGATCCAATAAGTATTTGTAGCATTCCTTCCCTGCTCAGAAAAAAAAAGCATTTGTACATGAGGAGACTAAATATATGAACAAAATCTCGGGACAGAAAAAAAATGTGTTCCACAGAGGACCTACCCTCAATTGATGTGCAAGGAAGTGGTGAGGAGTTGTCGTAAGTGTATATAAATATATTCTGGAGGGTAATGTGAATGTGATGCCCAAGATTTTCAGAGGAAAGAGACGTCGAGAAGTGAACAACTGGGGTCTGGTAGTGACCAGTGCACAGGAGTTGGTTTGTACAAGGAAAAAACTGATTAATGATTGCTTTTTGGCTTAATTAATGCCTAAAAAAATTATCTCTTTGACTTAACAGCAACATGAGAACCTGCCGGTCTGCACGTGTTTGTGCAAGAAAATCAAATGGTGGGTGGGGTGATATTTGACCAAGGACCAGACAACAAAGCAAATGACAACCTGAGCACTACTATTTTGTGCACGAATGAAAAAGGAATTCAGCAAAGTCATGGTGTTTGGAGAGTCTGTACCAGATGAAAAGCTACACGTCACTACTCACTAGCAAAGTCATACGAGAGCATACTCTAGGAACTTAGCCATGTGAGCAGAATGGCACTGGATGCTTCATGGAAATATCGTATGTGTAGTTCCCTGAGAACAAATCAAAGGCACCGGACAAGCTTCCAGAATTCCCTGCACATGCCTCAGAGTTCGGTCGTCGTCCTCTTTGCCTGGGTAGTCAGCAGAGCACGGCGCGTCTAGGACAGAGAGGTGCATTTGGTGGAGAAGAAATTCCTGCAGTTTTGGAGACTAGACCACTGCAGTGCTGCGGTTCTCCGCATTTTTTAGCTCAAGAAACGACGGGCACGCCCATAGTCCATGGAGAACAGTCAAACAGCAGGTACAAAACAAACAGAAGTCAAAAGTGTCACACCCAAATCATGCACGGGGAAACTGTGGTTTTATCTGCTTTCTAAAATCATCAGGCACAGAGGACTGTCAAATGGAGAAATTGCAGTCAAATAAAGTTTGCAGATGCAATTATCAGCCACAGAGTGAAATACTTCTTTTTTACGGTGAACAAAGGGTAAAACGATTCCCCACCAGCCCACCTGATATATATATTGTCCTCACTGGAGAGGCAATGCAAGTCACCACTCATAATTTACAGTGTGTCAGAGTTTAGGACATGGGGGAGACAGAGCATTACACCAATGTGTTCCAAGTAAGAACAAAACAGAGAGTTGTGCATGGTAGCAAAAGAGCATTAGCTTTATAATTCTCTGAAAAGGAATGGAATAGCCCATGGTCCATAACGACCCTCTTAAAATTCACATAGAAATTAACTAGACACCTCTTAAAAACAAATTACAGTTGATATATGATGGTAAAACCATGTCAGCATAGGATCAGCTGGAGAGAAACACGCAGCACCATATAAAAAACTAAAAACAGTTATGTGCTCAACATGCCTCTGTATTTGGAGTATTTATGTTTTCTGCATATTTTTGCTCAGCTATGAATAGTAACTCCAAATACATGATTTGTTCCTTGAACATCCCATTTCCAATCTTGTGTTCCTCATTTTCCTTACATGATTTGGAATTTCTGATGTAGCTGCAGAGCTGCTAACTGTTTTTCCTTTTCTTTCTGAATCCAGTTGACAATTGTGCCCTGCAGCTGGACAGGCGCATGTGCAACCCACAGGTTGAGGAATTGAAAGATGGTACTTGTTTTTCTCCCTATCTCCTGATCATGCCATTGCAACATCTTCCCTTTCCTAGGCCCCTGAGAAGTCCTCATGCTTGTTCTTTGTGTGCCCATGCTTGCCTTCTCAACCTGAATATATGCAGCGCCATGTTCTAATTTCCCAAGCATTTGGTAGACTGCCGCTTCATCATTCTTGCAGAAGTAATCTATTGCCTTTGGCAGCATGGTCTCTTCCAGTTGTCCCAATGTGAAGTCTGTATGCAAGAAATGCTGCTCCTCACAGTAGATCACCGGTACTGCAGGAGTTCTATCGACAAATAGGATGTCTTCTAAGCATCCAGGGGGGGTAACTAGGAGTCCAACTTTCAGATATGGAGAATCTTGTAGAGAATATTTGGCTTCAGACAGTAAGGACCTATGTTGGTTGCAGTCCAAGACTGAGACATGGCACTCCAGATGTACTTCAATTACTGGTTCCAGAAAAACATCTCGTAATCTTGACCTGTTTAACTTTCTAAGCTTGTGCTGATCATGCTGCTTGCAACATAATGGGTTTGGGCGAAACCAATCTGTGCCAAACCTGTGAAGAATATCCCAATGTTCTTTGTGATGTGTATCAATATCTGGCACCCATGAGAAATCTTCTGTAGGTAGTTGCAGAAGTTTATTCCTAACTGTTTCAACTGCAGACTTGAAATTGAAAAGAGGGGCATATAGCTGTAGGCACTGAATTGACATCCCTACTATGTCGGTACTCTCTGAAAGTTGTAGCATCAAAGAAAAGAAGAAGTCATCCTCCGATGCATTACCATCTGTCTGAATAAAGATGAATTTAGCCTCTATTCCGTAGTCTGAAGTAATATAGGGCACCAACTGTAAAAACAAAGGACGCCTGTTTGCCTGAATGATTCTGTGTTGTAGTTTCTTGCCATTCAGAAGATGCCTAACAAGAGGGTCAAAGGGCATGTGGTGGCGTGGCCTGCCACCAAGCTCTAGTAATCTGAGAAACTCGCTAGCACCATCTGTGAACCACTCAAACCTTCGAACAGTGGAGCTGTTTGAATCGTCTTTGTTGGGACTAAAGATGGAGGAAACAAATGACTTGGTAGTATGTGCTATACGTACAGGAAACGAGGACTTTCTCACCTCCTCCTCTGTCTGTTCGTCTTCTAGGATCCTCTGCTTGCATCTATGCAGCGTGTCATCACACTCCTGAGCAGCACGCTTCAGCTTCCCGCGCCAACGCAACAAGGATGCATCAGTGATCTGCCACTTCTCTGACGTCTCAAGAGCAGCCTCGAGCCTGATGTGTGCCATCTCTAGCCTCTCCAAGTTTCTGTTGGCACTTGATTCCACTTTCTCCTCATATTTCTGAACCAGATTGGATAGGAGCTGGTTCACTGTCTCATGGACAAGTGCAGAGCTGACAATCTCTGCCATCAGGATTCAAGGATCCGTAGTATCCCTTCCCTCTTCATAAAAATTGAACATGAAACAGCACACATGAAAGACTAAACATATGAACTTTGTATCAGAAGCAAAGATTTAGCTTAGCAACTGTAAGGACATACCTTGGACTGAATCACATGGACAGCTATCCTTTTCATGCATAGATATCTCGAGTCCAAATCATAGAATGAAGCAAGATGTGAACTTGAAGAGAACTCAGTGATATATATCAGAGACTTTGGAGAAAAAGAGGTAGGCAAGTCCAATAATTGGTCTCTGCAGGGAAAAAAAGGTAGGCCAGTCCCTCAAAAGTTAATGATGAGAGTCTGCACTAGGCTGTTGTAACACCCTAAAATTTGCTTCTCTTAAAATAGAGCTAAAATAATTTAATTTTGTATTTTTATGCTCATAAAAACATGGGGAAATAATAAATTTTCATTAGATTAAAATTTATCTTAAGGTAGAAACGTGTTTGTTGCATTCATGCCGGTCGCACCTTATGTTTCTATGTGCAAAATATGTTTTTTTTAGAATACGTTTAGCAGACGAATATCTATCTCTAGGAATTTTTCAGCTTCTTTCTGGAATTTAATTCCTACCTCCTTCACCTTAATCTTTATGTTCCAAGTTTACAACAATTTTTTCATGAGCTCCAAATACTTTATTTGGGTTCATCATGTTCCAAAGTCTCTGAAAATTTTCCCCAAATTTTTTGAGGTCTCGGAGTATTTTTCGTGGCTTAAATATCAATTCTTGACTTTTCTAAAATTATTTTATTCACAAAATTAATTAATTATGAAAATAAATAATATATCTCATTTTCCAACCAACTCATGTGCAATAATTCTAATAAATCTCAAAAGCCCATGTGTTTATTTACTAATAGGCTTTAATGATTATTTAGATCCATTAGTAAATGTGGAGGGTGCAACATCAATTAGTACCATATTGCTAGTTAATGTAGATGTGGGGAGTTTTTCTTCATATAAATATATATCAACCCATTGGACAAAGCACACCAAAACTACCATAAGGGGAATCCCTAGTTTGGGAAATCCCTCGTATAGTAAATTAGATTTTTCTCCTTCTCTCACCGTCGCCGTCGTCGCCGCCACGCTGCCCGACGCTGTAGACCCGCCATCGACCGCAAGAAGGCCCTAGGTGAGTTCGCCGTCTTCTCCTCTTATTCCCTGTGCTCTTGGCTCGTCAAACCGTGGCCTCTAGGACCCAAACGAAGCGCTCCGGGGAGCTTCTCGTCGCCGATAATGGAGGTTCGCCGCGCCGGTTTTCTTCTCCGGCCGGCGACTCTCTCTCCCCCTCCTTTCTAATCTGGGCCGTCCAGATTCAATCCAACGGTCCAAGATCGCCCGTACCCCTTCGTCAGGTTTATTTGCAAAAGAGCCCCTGCAGTTTCGCGTAATATAACTCGTAGTCCATGGCACACTTCTAAAATACGTTTTCCTATTTAGAAAGCGTAGTTTCTTTCTAGTAGATTCAGAATACGTTTTCTCTTTCAGAAAGCTTAAAATCCATCTGTTAGATTCAAAATACGTTTTCTTCTTTTGAAAACATAGTTTCTTCGGTTAGATCAGTTTTGCCACTAGTCTTATTTAGGCTATAAAATATTCGTTTTAACTCCGTTTTGATCCATTCAAGTTGCGTTAGATTCGTAATTGAGTAATCTACATGTTCATCCTACTGTTAAATATATTTTCAACTTTTGAAATTCGAGGTTAGATTTAATCTATTATTTTATTAAAAGAAATCTTGTTTAATTCATAACTTTTCCGTTATAGCTCCGATTAGCGTGATTTTCGCGTCTGTGTGTTCGTAGTAACGTGTAGAACATCTTTAAAATACTTTTACTTATTGTTTCATATGTTTTGTGTACTATTCTAATTTAGTTCTATTGTTTGCTTCGTGTATGATTGCATGGATGCTTGTGTGGTGCTTTATGATTATGTCCGGTCGGTGAGCTTTGCATTGGTGATATAAAAGAAGTTGGTGATGCAGAAGAAGTCATTTAGAGGTTACAATTCAATAGAAGAATGATTTGAGTTTAAGGCAAGTATAGCATGTGATCATCCTTGTTGTCCTATACACCTTTAATCATTTAATTCATGCTGCATATGTCTACCTTGATTACCACTAATAATTTTTTTAGTACTTTATTACCTTGTATATTGATACCTATGGGGTATTGCATTGGGTAGTATGATGCTAGCGCTCAACTAAAGCCATGATCTTGTAACTTGACTAATGAAATATGCAATAAACACTAAAAGGTGCTTTTTAGCAACATAGAACAAGGGGGCTAGAGCATGGGCTATTTTATAGTGTTGTAGATTCCTCTCCCTAAGGACTTATCTGTAAGCGAACATCCGGGACTTACAGTACAGCTGTGAGGGCTACATGGCTCTGGCTTTAGCTCAGTATGAGGACATTTTCTAGCTTGTTAGTGGTTACCTTTATGGCGCAAGAAAGGCTCCGACAGGTATGATCTCGGCCTACCAAGCGAGTGCACTTTGGTTTCTTGATATTTTAGAGGGGGGTTCATGCTTATTGATGGAAAAACCTGAGTGACCCTAACTTGTTAGACGAACATTTGAAAGGCTTCATAATGAACCCTGCCGACCTTCCTTGGTAGTGGGTCAAGAGGTTGGCCGCCTCGGGTGAAAGGGTAAATCACGACTCACAGTGAAAGTGTATAACCTCTGCAGAGTGTAAAACTGGTATATCAGCCGTGCTCACGGTCACGAATGGCCTTGGACCCTTACGAAATAGATGAAGAACACGAATAATACCGATGATAAAGATGCTCACTAATGATTACTGTTTATGCTATTCATTATTCATGTTTACCTGATCAAGTGTTTATATGAGCTTGTGAATAAACTTGTTGCCACCTAATTGTTAAAAGATGACTCATTAAAAGTTAATCACAATTAACCAGTGTCAGCCTTTTGAGCCTCATGAACCCCATGTTATATTTGTTGAGTACGACATATACTTACGTTTGCTTTACTTTTTAAATCTTTGGAAAAATCCCGGATGGGTACCAGATTGTTAGAGTTTGAAGGAATTAGGCTTGTAATCAATCAGTCAGTTGTCCCTGTGGAATTAAAGTCTTCACCCGAAGATCAGAGTTGTCTTTCCGCTGTTTATTGTCTAAGGTTATATCCTTTATACTAAATATGTTATATATTAAGTATTGTCTATTGATATTACCTTTATTTGTAGCTATATGTAAGATTTAACTTCTTAGGCTCACATATAATGTGTATCTGGTTTTGTCCCTAAAACCGGGTGCTACACACATGTGCATATATAATAGGCACCGAGTAGAGAAAAGTAGGAGAGGTCCGTTCAAAACTGTGTCATGTGTGGAAAATCAAAGAATGAAGGTTGGTGCGATAAACCAACGGCAGGGAAAGAAAGTGGAATGCAACTTGAGAATAATTTAAAAGGCCTTGGCCTCTCAGATGCTTAAACCGTACGCCACATGGAATTCCTTTTCAGGTTTCTTGTTAGCAAGTGGACAATGAGCTTGGAACTTCTTTTTAAAGAGTTTTCGTTAGCAGTGGCAGTTTCTAGTAGATGAAGCCAACATTCAAGTCTCTGTAAATTCATATTTCTTGCTACGTACTGGTTCACTGATGTCTGATTAACTCATAACATTTTTCCATGTCTCCCCTCATTTAATTTGCTTGCTTGCTTGCTTGATGCCATGGAAGTTTGTTCAAACAGACTACTGTCAATGAAATGGACTGTGTTCGATGCATGAAACTGTAGTACACAACAAGAAAAAAGAAAAAGGAACTATCTGTATATGTTTTTCTAACAGTATAGTACATGTACATAGATAAGATTCTAAGAACAGACTGTTACTACTACGACTGATCCGACTCCGACATGGCCAGATGCCCGGATCTAGTGGTACAAGATTGAAGGCCATGGAGCGAGCAGAGCTAGAGGCAGTCTGGTTTCTGAAAGCAGAGCAGCTAGCCTAGCAGGCAGAGGAGGCGCAGAGCATAGCTAGGTTGTGTGCTCCTGCCCGGCTGCAGCCGCACCGTGAGTTGGGGGAAAAAATCGCGCGTACCTGGAGAGCGCTTGTGTGAGGTGGGAGCACCTCGGCCGTCATCTCCCGGTCCTTCGCGGCTCCCACTCCTCCTCCACGGCGCCGTGTCTCTATCCTCTCCGAGCGCCGGCCTCCACCGCCGTTCTCCGCTCCAACCCGGCGCACCATGGCCGTGCGGCCCAGGCGAGTAGCCTAGTGTCGAGGTAGCATAGCGTGGGCCGGGCCCAGAGTTTTGAGCCTTCTTCGCTTGCTCCAAGGGCCAATCGTGTCATCATTATGATATCCTGGGCCGGGCCCAAAGTCCATACAGTTTCATCTTAGCCAAAGGTGTTGCGGAAAGCTTCGCTGCGTGGCCCATAGATGGAGCTGCGAGCGCGTGGGATTCCGAGAGTTACGTACGTAAGTTTTCTTTTCTTTTTCTATTTTTCCCCTTTCTTTTTTTCCTTTCTACTATTTCTTTATTCTTTATTCTTTTTCTTTTCTCTTTTATTGTTTTTTCTGTTCTATTTTTCTTGTCATCTTTTATTCTTTTTTATTTTTCTTTCTTTTCATATTTTATACTTTTTTATTTTTCTTTTCTTTTCTTCTATTTCTTTTTTTCTTTCCTTTATTTTTTCATTTTTCTTTTTCAGTGGCCTTTTATTATTCTTTGTATTTCTTTTTTCTATTTTATTTTTTAATGTATATTTTCCTTTTCTTTTTCTTCTTTCCTTTCATTCATTTGTCTTTCTTTTCTTTTCTTTTCTTTTCTTGGACTTTTGTCGTTCTTTTTATTTTCTTTATTCTTTTACTTTACTCTATTATTTTTTATTTTTATTTTTTTTTCTTTTTCTTTCATTTCCTTGCTTCTATTTTGTTTTTTTATTTTTCCTTTTTTATTTTCTTATTTTTTTTATTTTTTATCTTTTACATTTTTAATTTTTTCTTTTTCGTATTTTTATTTTCCTTTCTTTTCTTCTATATATAATTTTATATTTCATTTTTTTATTTACAGATACATGTATGTTCATGTAGTATACGGTGAAAAAAGGGGAGAAACATCATAAAGGGAGAGAAACATAAAGATATAGTGAAAAAGGGGGAGAAATATCATAAAGGGAGAGAAACATAAAGATATACTTGATATATATGACATAGGGGGAGAGAAGTGAAAAAGGAAAGGGATCAATTTTGAGCACACAAGTAGGGGGAGCAAGCTCATGAACTTGGATGATGCATTTGATTGTGCATTTCATATGTTTGCTTGCATGACACAAGTATTAAATTTAAACATCCATGCTTGTGTGATGTATGCTAGTTGTAAGTTTGAATGATAATATGAAAAACTAGCATGAATAGATTATCTAGTGATTTCATTCTCTAGTATTATCAAGTGGTATCTATTCCAAATATCTCCATGTGGTATATTTTCAAATGGTATCAAGCTAATCATGGTGCTAAGGAAGGTATAATAGTGCACTCCGATTGGTATCACGCTTCAAAGGTCCGTCTTTTATACCTTAGCATCATTTGGTAGACATTGACTCCTATATTTCCTATCTAATCATATGTGCAAGCTACAATCCAAACTCTTAGCGCATATGTAGGGGGAGCAATTGCTACCATTTGGGGTTCATGAAACTTGTCCATATTCTTTTACACATGGCAAATATGCTTGGACAAGCAACATGGATTCAATTTAATTTTAATTCATATCTTTGTGAAAGGGTTATCATCAATTACAAAAAAGAGAGAGATTGAAATCTCTAGTTTGGTTTTGGTGAATTGATGAAACCCTAAGTGCTAACCTAGTTTATCAAGTGACCATGAGATAGGTAGCACATTCCAAGTGATGAAGCAAATGGAGATCATAGCATGATGATGATGCCATGACGATGATCAAGTGCTTGGACTTGGAAAGAAGAAAGAGAAAAACAAAAAGCTCAAGGCAAAGGTATAAACCATAGGAGCTATTTTGTTTTAGTGATCAAGACACTTAGAGAGTGTGATCACCTTTAGGTTTGATAGTCGTACTATTAAGAGGGGTGAAACTCATATTGGAATGCGGTTATCAAAGTGCCACTAGATGCTCTAACTCATTGCATATGTATTTAGGATCTAGTGGAGAACTAACACCCTTGAAAATGATTGTGAAAATAAGCTAACACATGTGCACAAGGTGATACACTTGGTGGTTGGCACATTTGAGCAAGGGTAAAGAAGTTAGAGGTGAAATAGAGTTGGTCGCAAAGATGCTGGCGTCGGTCAACGGACCAGACGCTAGGTCGCTAAGCGACCGGACGCTGAAGGGCTGCGTCCGGTCGTGTTGTCGGTCAGCACAGTAAGTAGTCACAGTGTGACCGGACGGTGGCAGGGTCCGGTCGAGCATGACCGAACACGTCCGGTCAGCAAAAGTCGGTTTTGGAACCTTATTGTAAACGATCGGACGCTGGTGTTCAGCGTCTGGTCCACTCAGGCGCAACGTCCGGTCAAGATTGATGACCGTTGAAGTTAGGACACGTGGCTGACTACGAGCGACCGGACACTAGGGGCTCAGCGTCCGGTCAACTGACCGGTGCATCCGGTCAGCCCGAGTTGTGCCCAGTGAAAGGGTACAATGACTCTATTTCGTGGGGATGTCTATTTAAGCCCCATGGTCGGTTGAAGCTCACATCTTTGGCCATTTTCATTAACATAGCAACCTTATGAGCTTAGCCAAAGCCCTCCCACTCATCTCCATCATTGTTTCACCATCTTTGTGAGATTAGGAGTGAATCCAAGTGCATTGCTTGAGTGATTACATCTAGAGGCACTTAGTGTTCGTGTTTCACTGCAGATTTCGCTTGTTACTCTTGGTGGTTGCCGCCACCTAGACGGCTTGGAGCAGCGAGGATCATTGAGCGGAGAGTGGTGATTGTCTCCGGCTCCGATCGTGGTGATTGTGAGGGGTTCTTGACCTTTCTCCGGCGGAGAGCCAAAAGGTACTCTAGTGGATTGCTCGTGGCTTGTGTGATCCTCATCTTGTGTTGGTTGTGCGGCACCCTATTGAGGGTTTGGCGTGTGAAGCCAATTAACGCGTGAACCTCCAAGTGAGTGAATCGCCACAACGAGGACTAGCTTGCCGGCAAGCAAGTGAACCTCGGTAAAAAATCTTTGTGTTCATCATTGATTCTAAGGTGATTGGTCTTCATTGTTATTCATCCTTGTGATTGATTGGTTCCTTCATCTACACGGCGGTATAACCTTCTTGATCACTCTCTTTATATTACCGCAAACTAGTTGACAAGCTCTTTAGTGTAGCTAGTTGTGAGAGCTTGTTTGCTTGGTTGGTGTGGCTCTTTAGTTAGCCTTTGAGAGCACACTAACATAGAGTAGTATCATAGCTATTATGTGAATAGATACTATCTAAACTAGAATTGTGATAGGTGGCTTGCATTTTGAGTAGGCTAGCGCAACACTTGCTTCACCTCATAATTGTCTAACCATTTTGTTAAGTGTTGTTGTAGAATTTTTTATTTGGCTATTCACCCCCCCTCTAGCCATTAGGACCTTTCAAGTGGTATCAGCGCCGATGTCACCATAATTTGAGGCTTAACAACCTTCGGTGTAAAAATGGCTCAAATCAACAATACCAAGAAGCCACCCTAATTTGATGGCTTAAATTATCCTTATTAGAAGGCTAAGATGACAACATTTATTAAGTCAATCAATAGGAAGATTTGGAAGGTGGTAGAAACAAAAATTGAGATAGAAGATGAAGAGGCTCCCACCGCCGCCGAAGAAATACTTCTCCAAAACAATGACATTACTCTTAGTGCCATCCATGATGCTTTGGATGAGAGAACCTTTGAGCAAATCAAGAACATTGAGAGAGCTCATGAGGTATGGAAGAAGTTGGAAGAGTCATTTGAGGGCACTCAAGCCATGAAGGGTGCAAAGGCATATATTCTCAAAGAAAAATTTGCAAGCTTCAAGATGAAGGAAGATGAGAGTATGCCGGACATGTTCCATCGAATGGAAGTAATTGTCAATGATCTCAAAGCACTTGGTGAGAAGATAGAGGACAAGGGCTTCTCAAATAAATTCTTGAGATGTTTACCCGCAAGATTTGGCATGTTGGTCACCTTGCTAGTAAGGACCAGTTTGAACACAATGACACCAAACCAAATCTTGGGAGATATTATGACCGATGATGCTTATAGAGATGAAGATGAGAAGGAAGAAAAGAAGGAGAAGAAATATGAGAAGAAGGATGACAAGAAGAAGAGCATGGCATTCAAAGCCACATCATCCAAGGGCAAAGCTAAGCAAGAGACATCAAGTGAAGAAGATGAATCTTGGGATGATGATGATGATGATGAGAAGATGGCTCTCTTTGTCAAGAGATTTGGCAAGTTCATGGTGAAGAAGGGCTACTGTGCTAGAAGGAAGAAGTCTTCATCCAAGAACAAAGAAGAGTCAAGAAGGTGTTTTAAGTGTGGAAGCAAATATCATCTTGTTGCTCAATGCCCATACAATAGCGACAATAATGATGACAACAAGAAGAACAAGAAGAAGGACAAGAAGGAAAAGAAAGAGAAGAAGAACAAGATGGCATTCAAGAAGAAGAAAGGTGGTTCATATGTAGTCACTTGGGATAGTGATGCTTCCTCAAGTGATGATGATGATGATAGTGATGATAACAAGACCACCAAGAAGAAGGTCCTTGCAAGCATTGCTATTAATGAGAAGCCTTCTCTCTTTGAATCTTCATCATGCTTCATGGCTAAGGCTACTAAGGTACAATCTTGTGATGATGAAAGTGATGAAGAACATGATGATGAAAAGAAACATGAAAATGAAAATGATAGTGATAGTGATAATGATGAACCTACTAAAGATGAATTATTTGACATGCTAGAGGATGCTAGAGAACACTTTGACATCAAGAGAAGGGAATGCAAAAGCTTGCGTAAGGAACTAAAAGACCTTAAGCAAGCCTTTGATGAGCTCAATGCATCTCATGAGAGGCTAGAGGAAGCCCATGAGAAGCTTGGCAAAGCTCACAAAAAACTTGAAAAGGCTCATTCATCTTTGCTTGATGACCAAAATAAAAAGAAGCATGTTGAAACTTGCAATGTAGGTTTAACTTATGATATAATTGATGAATCACTATCTATGCATATCATTGTTGCTCCTACTAACCCTTC